GTTTTTAAAAAAATAGTAGCATTAAGTAAAAATAAGTGCAAGCCTCTACATTCAGAAAATAAATAATAGACCTGCATTGTGTGTGGCAACAATCAATACCGTTTATAGCAGCTGCCTTTGACAGAATATAAGCTATTCAGTTTGATTCAATCGACTTCTCCTTGTTCTTTCCCAAATACCTATTTTCAGTAGCAACATCTGTTATCCATAATCATGTTTTCCCTTGCTTTTTTCCTTAAATGGTAATATTTTCTCTGTTTATATCTTAACTTCATATCATTTAAGAAGATAGCAGTAGATGGATTGGGAAGTCTTTTGTGCTTTGTTGCACCTGATCTGTGTCATTGCTTCATTACCTAAAACGTGGAGGTTGACTCTTGGATCTCCTACCTGGTAGTTCCTGCCTGGGATTTCATGTTTCAGTATCTTCTTCCAGCATATAATAATAGTTGGTCCTGAGGATCCTGTGTAAGCAGCATTCAACACAGAATGTTTATGCAAAGTAAATATTGTATAAATGTATGCTGTTACTACATTACTTTTCACTTACTAACTGGTATTTTCAGGTTGGAGTAGCCATGTGGAATAGAAAATTAATAAGTGAAAAACATTTACTAAGTCTTCCTAAAATGAGGTTAAATGATTACCTTGAATATAAAATTGAAATTAAACTACCTGCACTCTTTTACTTACCCATCTTCCTTTCCATCTTTTTCATTCTTGGCCCATATGGAAATAACATCCTGCATCACTTACTCATATTGCACAATGAGTGGTTTCATGTTTGTTGTTTTGCACTTGACAATTATATTTGCATTTGACATAGAGTTTTCTATGTCGTTATGTAGCTAGGATAAAAATGTATGGAATGGGGAGAGGGCAATGCTGTTATACAGTAAATGAAGCCACAGCTTGCAATGCTGGCATCCTATATCAGACCACTTGTTCTAATATTGGCTGTTCCACTTCCCGCCCAGCTGCCTGCTCAGGGCTAGTAAAGCAGCAAAGGATGACCCAAGTACCTAGGTCCCTGTAACCCATATTGGGAAGCAAGATAGTGTGTTCCATTTGCCCAAAGTGTGCTGAATACCCACTCTGTGCCATCAAGCAGAAACAGCAGTGGATGAAAGGGGCAGTCTCTGCTGCTCTGAAGGCAGATGTATGACATGGGTGTCACGAAAAGAAAGACAGAAGGAGACATTTTGCTGGAGGGTTCAGACATGGACTTCCTAAGCAACCCGACACTCAGGTTTAAACAAACAAACAAACGAAAACTCCATAGGAATTAAGTAGTGAGTGAAAATAGTTCAGGGAGGTCTTGGGGAAGTGCATGGGTATGAATTATCTTGGTACATTTGATATGAAATGATAGTGACATGACAGGCTTCTGGTGAGGATCATGGACAATGGAAGAGGCAGGTTTGAGTCCATAAACCTACTAACCTACTGAAGACTTTTAAACATGAAAACAATATGATAGGTTTGCACCGAGAGAAATCGCTCTGGATACTGAAAAAACAATTCATTAAAAGGAGAAGAATTAATAGTTAGAGATTTTGGATGTTATTAGAGGAATCTAAGCAAAAAGGGCGGCGGGGGGAGCATGGGTTGGCAGCAGTAGAATTGGTGAAATGTGAGCATACTTGAGAGTTGTGTTCTCCTGTAGATTGTAGGGTCTGCAGGAGTTAGGACTTGCATGGAAATTGAAGTTGAGGGAGGGGCACATTTGATCACCAGCTGAAAAAAAACAGTGAAACTGTCTCAGGGAAGAGGGAGAAGCCATTGGACATGTCACATCTAAAAGCATGAGAAACATCCAAATAGACACATGAAATAAGCAGTAGAATTTTTAGGCCTATGATTAAAAATAAAGTTGAATTCTGGAGACTGTAAATTGAAGAATCTTTGAAATACAGGAGATATTTGAGCTTATGGACATGGTCTTTGGAGAAAGCAAGTTAAGAAAAAGAATCCACCCTCAGATCTAGCTTATCTTTATTCAGGGAATATCGGAACATATGTTGATATTGTCATAGTTAGCAATTTTATAGAACAATTTGAAAGTTAGTACTTTGTTTGTAACAGTGTCTGAAATTTTTGATATGTAATTGTATGTCTAATCATTATGATGATGTTGACAGATCAGAGATAACGATGTAAAAATCCCCAGGGAAATTTGGATAACCTTTCACTTCACAACCAGAGAGGAAACCACCCATTGACTTGGGGAGTTTGGGAATAAAATGGGGCATTTTCTAATTGTTACAATGATTAGAAAGTACTTTAACATTGAATAGATAAATGGCAAAATGCATCATTACACTCAAGATGACAAGTATTTCTCAAGTGTGTGTGTGATTTCTTGCTGCATGTCACTCAAGGCATAGTCCTGGCCCCAAGATCTGTTCTCTATGTTTGTCTTCTTGCAAAGGAGATGACAACTCAGCCCCCACTAGCAAGTCATTGTTGCTCGCCCCTTAGGGCTCTTCTGTGCCTGTGTGCAGCCGATGCACATTTTAGGGTACTCAGTAAGATCTAGTTTGGGTGCGCTGATGTGACCCTCCTCCCTGGGATTATAACTCTCAGAATGTCTTTTTTCTACATATCATCTGAGCAGTCTTTGGGCTAGTCATTATAGGTTTCCTTTCCTATCCTTTGTCAAATATGTATGACATATATATATATATATGGATTCATAAATATATATAAATATATTTTTTCTTAGTGACTTAATTGTCAAGAAACTGTCATGAATTTAATACATGTTGAGTTAATGTTACTTCTTCTCCCCTTCCTCTTAACAGTTTTAGTGATTATACTTTTGGAATTTGCCTAATATGATACACACACACACATAGATGTAGATATATAGATATAGACATGTTAGGATTCAAAGGGATGAAGAATAGGAATCACTTTGCAGCATACTTATTTGTTCTTTGTAGTTAAGGAGAACAGCAGCAGCTCTTACTTGGTCCACACATTCAACTATTTACATAGTCTGCTCTAATCACTGGGATGTTTGCTGTTTCCAAGCACCTACTTTTCACATTTCATTTTCTGGTTTTACCAGAATTTTGAGGAAGTTTTATCATGATTTAACACTTTTATTTTAAAAATGAAGAGCAGACATCATGCTTATTCATAAATATAGATGCTGTGTAATTTTCTCATATGTGAATCTCTGTGTGAGCGGGTTTTATAGCATGTTTTCCATTAGTCATTACTTAAGTAGCTTCCGCATGTAAAAGCCTTCAAAGTTAACAAAGGAAAATAAACCAGTGGAATAGTGTGTATGTGTGTTTCTCGGGTTCATTGTAGAAGATCTAATGCATCATAACTGCTGAATGTGCGTTTGTATTATCAGAATTGACTATAGCCTGGAGACAAAAACAAGACCAGCCACATCTTTGGTGTGCCACTTGTAATGCTGCAAGTTCTCTACTTTCTTTTGGTAAAGTCATGATAATGTATTTTATGCCATGGTTAATATAAATAGCACTGAAATGAACAAAGATGCACCGATATCTGTTTAAGATCTTTATTTCAATTCTTTTGGATAAATACTCCTAAATCATAATATTGGATTGCATCTTAGTTCTCTTTTTAATTTTTGACGAACCTCCGTACTATTTTCCTTAATGGATGCACCATTTTGCATTGCCACCAACTAAGTAAATGGATTTCATTTGATCTGCCCAATATTTACCTCCCATAGGCGTTTATATACTAGTGTAAACACACACACACACTCGTGCATGAGCACAATTCCAAATACTATGAGATAATACTTGGTTATAGTTTGATTTATATTTGCCTGTGATGGTTGACTCTGAGAATTTATTCATATGCCACCAGGTGATTTGTGTATCTTCTTCAAGAAATACATAGTAAACTTCTTACCCATTTTAACCTATAATTTATTGTTTTTGTTGTTTTAGTGCAGTTTTGGAGTTCCTTGTATAGTTTGGAGATTAATATTCAATCAGATATGATTTTTGACATGTTCTCCCATTCTATAGATTGCTATTTCATGCTGTAAATTCTTTCTTTTGATGTGTAAATTTTTTGAATTTAATACATTTCCATTTTTCCTATTCTTTGAATGTTATGTCCATCAAATTGGTGCTGACACCAATATCATTATGTTTTTCCCCTATGTTTTCCACCAGAAATGTTCATATCTTATATATTTTGCACCTTTTATTTTCTTGAATCGATTTTTAATTGGTAGTGCAAGATGGAAGTTTAATTTCTGTCCTTTTCATTTGGACATATGTTTTTCTAGCTCCATTGACGTAAGAGACTATCCAATAACAATTGTATATTCTTGGGCTCCTTATTGAAAATAACTTGATCAGATGTGTATATGCATTGCTGGTCCCTCTTTTCTGCTCCACTGCTCTGCATGGCTGTGCTTTGCAACATACTTTAAAACCACAAATTATCATGCCTCAAGCTTTGTTCTTCAAGATTGGTGTATCTATTTGCAATCTTTTTTTGTTCCATATGAATTTTCATGTTGTCATTTCTGCTTCTGTAAAAACAAACAAAAAATAGTGATTGATACACATTGAACTGAAATTTAAGAATTTAAGATTGTTTGGGGTAGCATGCATACTAACAATATTAAATTTTTCAAAGCATGAACACAAATGCCTTCTCACGTGTCTTATCTAATTTCTCTTATCAATATTTTATAGTTTTTACTATATGTGTCTTTTAATCTTCTTAGGTTGGTTTATTTCTAGATGTTTTATTGCTTGTGGGTACTATTCTAAGTAAAATAATTTTTAACTTTTTCTTTGATCGTTCATTGGTAATATGCAAAAGATAACCAATTATTTATTAGGCTGAAAACTTTGAATGCAAGGGCATTCCTTATTTATATTTGGTAATAATTATAAATAAATAGAAGCTAACAATATTGTGAATGTGCTTTTATTTTATTTCATTGGAAGTCATCTTTGTTTTTCTGTGTTTTTTTTCTTCCATTTTAGGGCTCTGCTAGTGCAACAGCGTCTCCTCCAGTCTCTACACCTGTCACAGGACACAAGAGAATGGTCATCCCAAACCAGCCACCTCTAACTGCAACTAAAAAGTCTGCAATGAAACCACAGCCTGGCCCCCAAGCTGGGCCCATCCCTGTGACTCCAATAGGACCACTCAAACCCCAGCCTCAGCCTGTTCCAGCCTCGTACACCACAGCCTGTACCCCTACAAGGCCCACCTTTAATGTGCAAGTTAAGTCGGCTCAGCCCAGCCCTCATTACATGGCTGGCCCTTCCTCAGCACAAATGTATTGCCCAGGACCCCATGGTTGCAGCATACCACCAGTTCATGTCTCTGGGCCACCTCCTTCAACCCGGCCTGGTACAGATTATGCGTATATTCCACCACCTGTGATTCAACCTGAACCTGGATATGGGTATACCCCCAACCAAGGACGCTATTATGAGCCCTATTGTGCAGCAGGGCCTTCCTATGGAGGCAGAAATGAGAGTAATCCTGCCTATGGGCAACAGGGACACCCAGGCACCTGGAAGAGGGAACCAGCATACAATCCTCCTGTAGCAGGGAGCCAAAACCCTACTAGCTTATACGCAACCACTGGTCCCAAGAAGACCTATATTGTGGATCCTGTTTCCACTCCTGGTGCACCACCACTGCAACCAAAGGTAAGATAAAATTACAAGTAATATCATCATTGGGGTAAATGTCTATGTTGACCTCTATCACAGAAAGCAATGCATAAGGCACGAATGTGTGTGCCCTTCTTTTAGTTTATCAGCAAGTGCAGTCCTAAGAAAGGTTGAGTAAAGTTAAAAGGAGGAAAATTGTGTTTGTGTATAATATTACCAGTATGGTTATTGTTTGGAATCAAATGGAAATAATTGATGAATCCTAACGCATCATCTTCTAAAACATATGAACTCTAGCATCTCAGAACAACCAGATCTTGAGGAAGAAGGGGAATCATTTGTCTTGCAGCTTAGACTGGATATTGATCAAAGTGTCCCTTCATGGGGCAGACATTACTACTTACTAATTCTGTTTATGTGGGCTCTAGATATGTGTGGCTTTTCATATGTGAACAGGTACAGGGAATTTTATCTATAGGTGAAAAGACACAGGACCATCTCAAAGTGGGCTTCTCTCAGACTGTGTCCAGGAAAAGGCAGTCAAAAATCAAGCAATGTTGGTATCACAGGGATTCCAAGGAATGAATAAGTGACCAGAACCCAGGAGACAGCGGAGGCTAAGCAGGCCTAAGCTAATACAATCATATTGACTAAGATTTCATTTGGTAAGAGGTTGCTGCATAATAGCACTTGCTTGCTGCCACTTGTTTATTCACATTATTAATCCTCCTAGAAGAATCTTAGACTTCAGCTTCTATCCCTACTAGGCAAGGATTAGGCATTCTTTTATCATTTGTTTTGTCATTAGTACATGTATGCCTAGTATATCAACACAATCTTTTTAAATACTAAGTTACAGTAGTATTTGTCCCTACTCATATTAGCATGGATTTTCAATTAATGATGGAGACAAGAAAATATAGTTTTCTCCTACCATAACACAAAGAGACAAGCAGAATTACTTGGGAGGGGAGAAATGAAGATTGCAAGTTAACTTCCAGCCATTTGGTTGGAAAGGCTCCCTCTCTTCCACACTCAGATCAAAACAAGCAATTATGTGAGTGCCCTCACTTAGCTAGAAGCCAAAAGCTAATTTTAGGGACATGGACTTCATAAAATATCAGACTACTTATTTTCTAATTCTCTCCATTTTCCCCTAGATTAAAAAAAAGGAATTTATTATTTATTTTTATTGGAAAGTCAGATATACAGAGAGGAGAAGAGACAGAGAGGAGGCTCTTGCATCTGTTGATTGACTCCCCAAGCAGCCTCAATGGCAGGAGCTGAGCCAATCTGAAGCCAGGAGCCTGGAGTTTCTTTTGGGTCTACCACTCAGGTACAGGGTCCCAATGCCTTGGACCATCCTCAACTGCTTTTCTAAGCAGGGAGCTGGATGGGAAGTGGGTCCTCAAGGAATAAAACAGGAACCCATATGAAAGCCAGATGCGTGCAGAGCGAGGACTTTAGCCTCTAGACTGTTACGCCGGGCCCTGCTTAGTTTTTAAATTCTAGTCAGATCCATTCACATATACCACAATGCAAAAGGCAAATCCATGGTGGAATATTGACTGAACCATTGTCCTCACGTGAAGGTTTCAGTTCTGTTCATGACACTGTGAACAAACAAGGTGTGTAAGATGCTGCAGGACTCCATCAGTCTCAGCACTGAGCAGTGTATATGAGTGCACGAGCTGTGAACATAGCACAGTCCAAAGATTCAAGTGAAAATTTGAGGTGATTTTCAAACTGTTTCTCTGTAAAGCATATGAAAAGATGTATTGTTATGGTCTTTTGCTTGTTAAGTCAGGTTTTATCTAAAAATTCTAAGAGAAAATCTTTGTTAACGGTATATTTGTTTAAGTCTCATTTGACTGTACCACAGACATTTGAAAGAAATATTCAACTTTACCTCATTTTTATATATGTTATATACAGGTATATAATTCTGCCATGGGAGATTTCAATGAAAGAGAAATTTAGATTGAAATAATTGTTGTCAACATTTTAGTTCAGATGGCTATATTATTTTTCCTTGGTCTGATTAAATTAAATGATGCTCCTAAAAGTAGGAGATGAATTTTGAATAGCCTGACTTATTTAAGATCCTTCTATTGCTCTTGAAGAATGAGACATGTATGTATGCCTAGGTAGAAAGAATAATCTGATAGTAAGTACAGAGTCAGTCTTCAAGGGTTGTGTTTGCCCATTATGTCATTGGAGATAACAGCTGAAACTAATCTACTGGTGTAAGAATAATAAAATGACTGTCTAATAAGAGGGCTGGCACTAACTTGTTAGGCCCAGCCACATCACTAGTAATTAATAGGTACTAACCAGCTACTCAGGTTAATGGAATGAATTTTTATTAACCAAGCACCAGAAAGCATGAAGCTTTATTTTGCTTTTTTTTTTTTTTTGAGTTCGTTAATTCTACAACATAGTCTATTATGTTAGTATGGACTTTGAATAACAGTGAATTTTATGTCATTTCAAACATTTTTGAAATATTTGTTTTTCAACAGCATCATGTGTTTTCATATATTATTAAACTGTGCATTTTAAAATGAAAATAAAAAGTACTTTTCCCTGGGATTATTAAGGAGTGTGGTTGAAGGTTGATATTTAGCCATCTGTGCTTTGGATAAGGGGAAAGAGGCTGATGAAGCTACAGATAGATTTGGTGTGTGTGCTGGGGAAATTGGCTGATCACGGTGTGGGCTCTTTCACAGTAAGTCTTCGAGCCGAACACTGCTGTATTCAACTGCACCTGTGCACAGAGGCCCTTATTGTCTGTGTATCGACTCTGTTTGGCTTCGCGATGTGATTGCTGGCTTGAAAAATGAACTCCTAATGCTTATCCCAAATCTTGCCTTGACATCGCTCTTTCAGTGTGTGGAAAACCTGTGGACCTCTCTGGCTCACACTTCCATACCCAGTGCAGAAGCCCATCATCATCACTGATTAGTCAGTGATTGAAAAAGGCTTTGGAAATTTCCAAGGATTGAAAACTTGTGAATCAAAAACTACCCAGCTTTTCCATCGGCTTTTCTCCATTCATTTCTAACTTTCCTGTTGGTATTGGAAAATGTACCTTTGTTCCATAAATCAATTCTCTGAGAACTTCTGGGGAATTTGGCACTTGGAAAAAGTTTGATACAATGAAAGAAGGAAGTCTCTATATTTTGACAAACTACTTTAATATCCCTATGTCAGGGTGCAGAATACAAAAAGGGAGTGAAAGAAAAAAAGGGAAATAGAGCAAAAAGAAAATTTAAGAAAAAGAAGGAAGCCAAATCAGAATTGTAAGGCTTACGGAACCACAGTTGTACTTGTGTTCCCATAATGTGCTGAGCAGTGAATTTGCATGCTGCAGCAGGCCATAATGTGTTTCCTGTACCGTCTGCACAAAGTTCCTTGAAAAATATTGCTATAACCAAGTCTTTGTAAGTGAGGAATATTCCCTGTTTAGTTGAAATTCCCCTAAAGACACAGTAGAATCTTTTTGCTGCCTTATAAACCAGTTAACATCCCCAGCACGTTGCTGTGAACATCACAGAAGTCTTCTGCACAGTGTCTTCACCAGTCTCTGATGTGGTATGTGAGTTTGCCCCAGTGTTCCAATAGACTGGCTTGGGTTAAAAATAGCAGACCCAAGCCAGAAAATCACTCATGTATGCAGGTTCACAGTTAAGAAGTTACCACATCACCTGCTATTGTATATTAAAACCTGATAGAGGCCACCCTCAACTCTGTTGAAGGGACAGCTGTGGGTCACATCTGTGAAACTATGGCTGGCACCCATCCCAGAAAACTGGAGTGTCCCAGCTCACTCGGAGCAGGGATGAGATTACCTTACAAAAAGTATCATTCGTTCAAATTTCCCTAAAAAATTCTTCAGGAAAATGAGGGCCTGTAGGTCAACAAATCACATCTTGGTAACTAACTCTGACATTTTCTCCCATACTTTTGCCAGATAACTCCCTGCTCTTCATTTGAGTGTTGAGCTGGGGCATGTTTAGTGGTTCAGACTAAGAGAGCAGAAGTCATGAACTGTTGAGAACAGTGTCAAAAGGACTACCATTAATTCTGTCAGTAGTAAGAAAATACTGGATAATATCAATAGGGTTAACATTTCAAAATTTTAGTAACATGAAGCTGTTTAAATTGGAGTGTGGTTTTTCCACAATGCATATTTTCCATAAATGTTTGAAGACATCTTTGTTCACATGGACGTCAAACATGTAGCTACAAGTAGACTTTTTCATTCCATTGTTCACAAACTTTTGGGGAAAATCCCTGTATAAAAGCATACATATTAGATGTACAGCAAAAATAAATGCAGTTTTTTAAAAAAACCAACTATCTTTATGATAAATCTCATGCTAAATTTCTCTCAATTTGAGTAGAAAAGATAAAAGAAAAGGTGGGTGGAGTGGAAAGATGGACGAATGAGGGTCTGTGCCTCCAATCACTTGGGTCACTCAACATGCCTGAGTAAGTGTGAGGATCAGAATGAAAGAGATGCCTTGAAGGAGCCAGTGTCAGGATTGGCAGTTCTTCCAATTGGCAGTACATTTGGGGCTGCAAAGAATTTGTGAACCGTATACCATCCATGAGCATTAACCATAGATACAGCCTTTAGGTGCTCATTCACCAATAAGTACTGCGCAGTTCATGATGAACATCTTATACCAAAGATCATACATCAGGGTTGTGAAAGAACCACAACTCCAGGACAGGTTCTCCAACTATTACCACTGTGCTTTCCCCCTGACAAGTTCTGAGCTTGTGAGGCAGGAACTCCATGTCATCATCGTACACAGCTCTAACATGACTCATGATTCCCATAGACATATGTACAAGGAAGCTTAGGCAGTCAGGCAGCACGGATGAGATCAGCAGCAGACGGGGAAGCACACATGAAGTTCCCGCTGGGCACCAGGCTTTGTGTCTTGGACCTGCCTTCCTTTTCCTCCACGTACAATTTCTCCCAAAGGTCTCTCTGCCATTCAAAAGATTCAAATCTTTTTCCTTGG